AAATAATCCACACTGGAGAGAAACCACATATATGCACGGAATGCGGAAAGAGCTTCAGTCGGAGGGCCAATCTAAATTCACATCAAAGGATCCACACAGGGGAGAAACCATATGAATGCATAGAATGTGGAAAGAGCTTCAGTCGTAGCAATGACCTTAGTTCACATCAAAGGACCCACACAGGAGAGAAACCATACATGTGCAAGGAATGTGGAAAGAGCTTTAATCGGAGTGGACATCTATATCGACATCAAGGAATTCACACAGGAGAAAAACCTTATACGTGCATTGAATGTGGAAAGAGCTTCAGTGACAGTGGATCATATGGCACACATCAAAGAACCCACACAGGGGAGAAACCATATACGTGCATGGAGTGCGGAAAAGCCTTCGGTCAGAGGTGCCAACTGCTTTCACATCAAAGAACCCACACAGGGGAGAAACCATATAAATGCATGGAATGTGGGAAGAGCTTCACTTGGAGTAGAGACCTGTGGTTACATGAAAGAAGCCACACAGGGATGAAACCATATAAATGCTTGGAATGTGGGAAGAGCTTTACTCGGAGTGGGCATCTACGTTCACATCAAATAATCCACACTGGAGAGAAGCCACATGTATGCATGGAATGCAGAAAGAGCTTCAGTCAGAGCAGTGGCCTTCGTTCACATCAAATAACACATAAAGGAGACAAACCATATGTATGCCTGGAATGTGGAAAGAACTTCAATAGGAGTGGACATCTATATCGACATCAAAGGACCCATACAGCGGAGAAACCATATACGTGCCTTGAATGTGGAAAGAGCTTCAGTCAGAGGGAGTACCTACAATCACATCAAAGGACCCACACAGGGGAGAAACCATACAAGTGTGTCGAATGTGGGAAGAACTTCAGTCTCAGTGGATCATATGCTAAACATCGAAGAACCCACACAGGGGAGAAACCTTATAAATGCATTGAATGTGGAAAGACCTTTAATCACAGCAGTAACCTGAGTTCACATGAAAGAACTCACACTGGGGAGAAACCATATAAATGTATGGAATGTGGAAAGAGTCGTAGCAGTGACCTCAGTTCACGTCAAAATACACACACAGGGAAGAAACCACACATGTGTATGGAATGTGGAAAGAGCTTCAGTCGGAGTGGTCACCTAAAATCACATCAAAGGATTCATACAGGGGAGAAACCATATATGTGCATGGAATGTGGGAAGAGCTTCAGTCACAACGGAAATCTGCTTTCCCATCAAAGAACCCACAGGGAGAGAAACCCCATAAATGGGGAAAGTGTTACAGTCACAGTTGTTGTCTCCAGCCACGTCAATGAACTCACATAGGAACATGGAATGTATGGAATATGGAAA